TTTCCCATATAAATTCTCTTTTATATGGATTAGCTGTGTGGAATGTGTCAATTAATGTATGATCTTTCATGTCCTTAATGAGGATGCTGTTGAATGACATTCTGTTCTCAAAACAGTGATGCTTGTTAGAAAACCTATCTATATAAGACATGTCTGTATCATTTAGGTCTCCTGAAACTATAACTTTCTAGTTTGGTTTATAGCATATACTGAGCCATTTTGTTATCTTTTTTTTGAAGTTGTGTCTCTCTGAGGCCTTCGTTGAAGAATAGATGCCTATTATTTTGAGATACTTTTTATATAGGAATGCCAGGTCAAGCATAATAATTCTTACCTAACTATTTCTTTCTTTACAATTCTTTTTACAAACTGGTATTTGAGAGCTACTCCTACTCCTGATCCTTGTTTTTGGTTTGTATTAGTTCAGTAAAACTTATATTCTTTGGTTTTCCAGTGTTTTGTTGCATAATCGCTTCTGTTGGTCTTAAGGCTAATTACAATATCCCAGTTTTTCTTACACTATAACTCTGTTCAGCTTATCCTATTTATTTTTTTGTTGAGTCCTCTTATATTAGATGTTGCAATCTATATTGTTAATCTTTTTTCTATATGATCTAGTGGTTTTTTAGTGGGTTGTGTTTTTTTTCTATTTCTATCTTGCGATGTTCTCTTGTTTCTTGATGTATTACTTATTAAAATTAGTATTGGTGTTGTTATTGACTATCTGGTAATACTTCAATGGCTTTGAGTACTCTTTGTATCATGCTATCCATTGTTCTGTTGATCTATTATTATCTTTTCCTGATATTTGTTGTTTAATGTCCTTGATTCAAGGTTTCTGTGCCTCCTTGATTGTTTGCTAGTGATTAGTTCTTCTTCTTACTGTCACTGTCAGAGTATGTTTCCATCTCATCATAGTATTCCTGATTGTATGCTTCTAGATTCATAACCCTTTCATCAAGGTTTGCTATCATCTCCTTGAGATTTGTTATCTTTCATTGAACCATTGTAAGCATTCTCATGATCTTCTATATGTTTTGAGGTTGTTGCATCCATTCTTGTTAATGTTATGATTGTTTCTGATAGTTTCATTAATTTTGATTCTTGCTTCTCTTTTTTGCTGATTGCTGTTAGCTCATATAGTTACTGCATATGATACTGGTCTATTGCTGCTCCTATCATTTGATGACATCTCAGCTTTGAAACCACCTGTTCTGACTGGCTTGGATTTGCTATAAATTTGATCATACTTTTCTATTTGGATATAATTAAACTCTCTTTATTGTTTCCTCCTCACCTTGATAGAATAGCCTTTTGTAGGGTGTGTTGTTATATCACAGACGGATAGAGAGGTGTGTTGATGGGGACCAAGATTATTGTAGTCTCACTGAGGATGAAAATAATGTTTTTACTGAAAACAGATCTTTTCTTGTTTTGAAGCTCACTACTGCAAATTTCTTCAGTTTGTATCTTGTTAAGTAGATGTATAGGATATAGTATATCCATGTTTTCATCTTATTTAAGACTTGCTTCAGGTTCCATACTGTGGTATCAGGAGATAGGTTGACCAGTTTTACTACAATACTGTGTCTTTCTCTCATTTGATCTGTTGACCAACTGTTATCGTTGATTCTAACTGCATCTTTTTTGATAAGAATGCTATGCTTTTTGACAAGTGCATCTTTAATAATCTCTTCCTAAAAGGTAATTGTGATATACTGTCATAAGTTTTGTATGTTCATATTGATTTCTGTGACACTATCAAATTTGACAAAATGTTGTCTAACCTCGATAAGCTTTATATTTAGGGGAATATTCTAGACTACTATGGATTTGCCTTTTTTGATCTATTGTTTACTGATTTGCATGTGGATAAAGATGAGTACCTAAAGGTGGAGGTAGAAACAAAATTTAAATGTCTCTCACTAGAAAACATTAAAATTTTTAAATTAACAATTATAAAAAAAACTATCCACAATTGTTCTTCATTATCCAAATTATTGATTTATAATATTTTTGGACTTTTGTCCCTATTAAAGTAAAAAGCTATGAATTTTGTCTCTCAAAAAGAGACATAAGTAATTTGTGAAATTTTATATACTAAATATATTAGGAACCCATTATTATATGTAGGTAAACCCTGTTCAAGCTGGAATATCTTATACAGGACCTTTGTCTAACAGAAGCCACGATAGAGCGTTTAGACAGAAAGTTGCGGCGAATTATCAAACACAAAACAGGCTTTGCTACCTCAGTACCGAACGCCAACTTCCATAGTGATCTCGGCTACAATACTTTCAGTCTGAAAGCACGCATGCTTCAGAAACATCTAACAATATTCGAAAACTTGCATCAAGTGACTAATCATGCTGGTAGACTATGCAGAGAAAGTGTCACAAACCTTCAGTGGGCAGCATGGTCAGAGACGAGCATTCTGGAAGAGTGTCCGAAAGTCCACTCGACGGGTACCAATTTTGTACAGGATATACTAATCAATACACAAAGGCAGGGTTTTGCATTTAGGAAAAAGGCGATAGAGACTTTAGCACTTAGTGATGATCTAACATCTATTGAAGATCATATAGGGAGGAAGTGGTTTGACAAACATAGAAACCAGCTCAGAGCAAGTAATCTCAGATGGGTGAAACAGTTTGTTAACTACAACAAAACCAAAACGATAAGCTGGACCCAAGTATGTCATACTAATAAACGCAAGGTACAGGGGAGAGAACCTCGCTACTATGAAGAAATCACCAATATGATCACTACAGGTATGGTCAACCCAAATTACGCAACTCGACTAACAAATCTTTTCCCCGGCACCAACCCCTTCCACAACATGGTTTGGGCAGAGGGAATTAGCAGCAAATCCCTTAAGAAAGACAAACTCATGTGGATCACTGGTGACAGGGACACAGAGGTAGACGAACTGGTCATCGGGAAGCTTAAAAAGAAGGATAAGAACATAACAACAGTGAGACACTTCACACAAGAGCCCCACTCACCATACATAAGGCTATGCACAGGATGTGAAATGAACAAGAGCGGTTCCAGGGACATTTGCATTATAGAAATGTTAAACAAGGACACAATTGCTGTCCCAGGTAGTGGCAAACAGCCCCAAGCAAATCCAGATGGAAACAAGGAGTTCAAGCTCCTAGCATCACCTCAAAGTATAAGGACCAGGCTCAACCAGAACAAAAAAGAGGGCAGAAGCGAACTAAAAGACGTCTATATTTGTAAAAAGGCAGGCACAAACGAAGGTATCGAATGGATCAAGAACCAAACGACTCAAAGAAAAGTCACACAGGTGCAGTTACAAATGGAAAGATGAAAGGAAGTCAAGGTAACAACGGATGCGAGCTGCTTCAGAAATTATCACACCACGGCTTTTATGACAGAAAATACTGAATCGGGTAAGAAAACCAAAGCCATATCTTTCAAGATCTCCCGTAGAACAACAACAAATGAGGCAGAACTAAACGCCATAATGCTAGCCCTAATCTCCCTTCCGCATAGAACAAGAGTCATAGTGAACACAGACAGCCAGATGATAGCCACTGCGTTAAAAATGGCCAGGAACAAGAGCAAAATTTCGAAGCTAATCACAAACACCAGAGACCTTATTAACAAGAAAAACATGAGAATCAAGGTCGAAAAGATTGGGAGAAACAGCAATCCAACCATTTCAAAGGTGAACGCAGAGGCCAGGAAGGCCAGATACAAATGGCAAACCACGCGCCTAGACATCACCCCACTTAATAAGAACATATTGGAACTAGAATACAAGGGGTTTGCGACCAACTTTAATGTTAGAGAAGCTGTGCGAAATCACTTCAGAAATGAATATTTGTTCGAATGGAGTATCCTGGAAAGGAACCGTGATCTTCAACAACTAAACAACGAGGTTGATTGGGAAAACACAGTTAACTTCCTGAGAATGAGGAAGCTTACCACTGGGCAGACAGACATGAAAGACTACCAACGCAGATCTTTCAAACTTAAATCATGGATACAGGAGCTGCCAATCATGACCAAGCTTCACGCCCGAAGAGGGGACCTATACTCTTCCAACAAATGTATTAGATGCAATGCGTCATGTGAAGACCAGGCACACGTATATTTATGTGCAGCAAGTGAGCTTGACTTCGGCACACAAATACTAAAGTCAATAGCAACCTATTTGCAAAGCAGAGAGAAATGAAGCAAGGACTGGGTCCAAGAATGGATTCGAAGGGTAAACGCTAAGGAAGTTAGAAGCTGGATCACACTGATAGCCAGGAGCTTAGTCCCCAAGAGCATCACCGAACTGGTTCGCACCTGGGCAAAAATCTACAGGAAGAAAACCAAGCCCACTCTTTTAGAGTGTATCGAAAAGATTCAAGACCACGTCAAAGAGATTTGGATGAGACGATACGAAAAGGTGGTCGAATGGGAAACCACACGGAAGATCACAAGGAAAGAAAAAAGAGACCAAGGATGATGGTCCCAAAGCTTTTCAAACAATCACTTGGTAAAACCAGGCAACACCGTTGGCCTGGATTGGAAGAAAACTAAAACTTTAAATTTCCTTTTCATACGAAGACATAAGGAAAATGGCACTAACTCAGCCTAGGCAAGTTAGTTTTCCGGAAGGAAAGCAACAGGTCACGGAGGTCCCCGGAGATCTGAACCAGAAGGTATCTTTCTCTAAACTCTCAACATACATGCTAGTATAGTTTGCGAAGTTTAGTTAACTTTGAAATAGATAATATATGTAATATTTAAGTAAAAGTTAAATAAAGACCAACTGGAAGCTGAGCCCACAAAAAAAAAAAAAAAAAATTATATGTAGGTGAACTTATTGTCATCTATATTTGGTAATTCCATTCTTGTTGCATTATCTGCTACTTGTAAATTGCCAAAAACTATGATGATTTGGATTCCCTCCTTTTTTTGTTCACTATGGATTGCGATAAGTTCTAATAATGAGTTGAGGGCTCTTGTAATATATTGGATTTTCACATCATTATTTGAGCCAAAGGTAACATTGGTGTCAATGTCAACCTTGAAATATTTTCTGCCATATCTAGTCTCCAAATCAACTGGTGTTCTTGGTATGATTTGATGTTAAAGTAGACTACATTGTTTCTATGGCCTATTGTTATCCAAGGATCTTCTTCCCTTTTACTGATAGCATTTTCATATTGTTGTCTTATATCATCAGTTCCTGAAAGGTTGCTTCTTTCTATAAGAGGGTTCAGACTTCTTGTCACTTCTTTGCCTGAAAAGAAACCATCTGTTAAGGAATCCTATTCCATTCACAGCTTTTTTTATCTACTTGCTCGATGATTGAGCCTCATAGGTAAAGATGGGTCCCTAAAGAAGAAGGCAGGGACAAAAGTCAAATGTCCCTCACTAGGAAAAATTAAAATTTTTAAACCAATAATTATAAAAAAACTATTCACAATTGTTTTCCATTATCTAAATTATTGATTTATAGCATTTCCTGACTTTTGTCCCTATTAAAGTAAAGAGCTATGAATTTTGTCC